CTATGTAACTAAAATTTATTACAAAATCTGGAGCTGCTTCTTTTTTTACTGTTTCTTTTTTTACTGTTAATGTTTATTGCGTTTAAGTGGCTGAGTCGTCACTGTATTAGACGCTTGGGTTTATACAGAGGAATTTGCATTCAAACTTTTGCCGGTACATTACAAGTACAGGCTTATATGTTTTGTGTGAGTAATTTTTGGTTTTTCTGTACATGCGTAAGTATATTTCTTCACACAGTAGACTTTGACAATTATGTGCAATCATCAGTAGCGTTGCTCAAATTTTTGGCATACAGCAATTACTTTAATCATTTAGTTTGTGTAATTGTAAAATTTATTATTATTTCTTTGGATTGTATAACGCCTACGACAGTGCATTGTGTAAGTTGCCAAAACAACGATTTCAATTACTTGGTAAACCCAAATAATTTGCAATAAAAAATTATTAGATTGTAGTTTTATTTTTCCATTGGCATATTTGCTAGCAAATATCTGAATTTGATATGCCGTCCAATCTCGTCTTTTGATATTCATCTGGTATTAGTTGAGACTTCATGTGGCCCATGTTTCCAAGAAATGCTTATAAGGCAAGAAAACTTAAGTAAGCCCACCCGAGTATGCCCACTTCTCTACTATAAACTAACGAGAACGCAGAAATTTAGAGTTGGCGAATAATTTGATTTGTTGATTAATTTCGATACCGTTATTGGTATACAATCGATAGTATTATCGATTTGTTCGTCGAATTCCTTGTCGATAGACATATATTTCTTCCGCCTTCATTCGGCAGTTTTACTTCACCGAGTTTGAAGTCAAAAACATCATTAGAAAGATATTTTTCTGTAAATTCCGAAAACTGTTATGGTTTTAAAATTTATTGAAAATTGCGGTTGCAGTCACCGTGTCAAATTTATATTAGTTGTATTTGGTTTACCAACGGTGTACTATTTTGCCATTTTTTGCTTCGTATTTTGGTTTTTGAACACGAAAACGATGACGAATATGAATGCGAAGACGAATATGACAACGAATATTAATACGAGGACGAATATGAAAGTAAAGACGATGACGAAGAATATACGAAGACCAAAACTATGTAGCACGAAGACGAAAATAAAATATACGCAGACGAATAAGCAGATAAAAGGGGAGACAAACACAAAGGCGTATATGAACGCAAATACGAACACGCAAGCGAATATGAATATGACTGCGAATATGAATACTAAGAGGAATATGAATAAGTAGGACTAACGAATACAAATAGGAAAACGAATTCGGAAAACGAAGACAAATGTGGAGGCGTATATCAAGGTAGAAGACGAACAGGAAGAGGAATAAGAAGAAGAGGACGAATGCGAATATGGAGGAGAACACGAAGACGATAACGAAGGTAAATACGAAGGCGAATATGCATACGATCCGAAGACGTATATGAAGACAGCTACTAAAATGAAGACGAAAAAAATTTTTAGGACCCTTAAAAACTGTAAAAGCGGCAGAAAAAAGGATTACAATTAATGCCGAAAACTGTAATCCTTGTTTATATAATTGTAGCATTGAAATATTTATCTATAACGACTTTTATCAAAATCAATGAGTTTGTCGATATTTTTAACCAAAAGAAATATCATTTCGAATTGCTATCATTAAAGTAAACTTTGGAAGTGAAACAATTTTCTCATCGAAGTGGATAATTTTATAAATATATGTAACCTTCATAATATGAATGTAAGTATTATTGCTATCGATAAATAATTGGTATTGTTTTCAAAACCAATGCCATTCAGAATTCGTATCAATTAAGATCTTTATCGATATTTTTAAGGAAAATTGCATCTAAATTTTTACATCAACATCATTCAACGCTACATTTTTTTCATCCAGCTCACTCGTTTTTTATTCGTCTATGCATTTTCATATCTACTCGTGTTCGTACTTGTATTTGTATTCACTAAAATACTACAAACGGAAAAGCTTTTTATACACTTTGAATAAATGCCCACAAAGTAGAAGCTCTACACAATTTCATGGGTTAAAAACATAAATTTAATTATTTGATGTTATTTTATTTAAATATCCATAGCAGCAAATTTTTAAGGCCCAAAAAATAATTATTTTGGAGCTTCACAGCCAAATTGCTTGGTAAATTTATTTTTCCCAAAATTCCCAATGATTCGAAAAAGTCATCGTGTTACGCTCGTCGTTTTTTATTTTAATACTCGCTGCTTGCTCACTTGGCGTGGCGCTAACTAAAATAATTTTTACGAATGCGTTGCGCTTGACTTCCTAAGCGGCTACATGCTTCAACTTTTTGCCAGTATGTGGCTAAATGCAAACATATGTACATAAGTATATACATACAAGTACAATACATATTACGTATACGCCAGCGTGAGTGACCGTTTCACGCTATTATATACTTGCATGTACATACATATTTATGTTCACTTACCAGCTGACTACTTGGACGTCATTGGCGTAACTTTGCTAAAATATTCGACCGTATCGCGCTTTTTTTCTTCTTCTGCACACGCCATGCCACATGCGATTCATAAAAGGAATTACAAAGATAGCTGAATTATTATTTAATAGTTATCTAGTCGTATTTGCTAATTGGAAATGTGCTGCAGCTATATATAGCTACCGTAAATATTTAGAAAATAAATAAAAAATTTGAGAAGCTTCCCCGAACAGAAATTTAGCAGTAGCTTAATATATGTATGTATATCTTG